GGGAGGGTGATGGCCGGAGCCCCCACGCGGGGCGGTCCCTGTCCCTGCCCCACCGTTGGGGGCTGCGGTGCAGGTTAGGACAAGCCTCCGCCTGCCCCGCTGCGCCGAAGCGCTGCTGGGACACAGCCCGGCGGAGGGCGGGTTGGGGCACACTTTGCCGCAGGTTATTAATCCTCTGAGAAGAGGCAATGGCTTGTGGAGGAGCGGGATGGATCAAGCACAGCCCTTGCTGCCTCCCCCCCCCAGGCAGGGGTCAGGAGCACCTGCCCGAACATGCTTCTCCCTTCTGCTGGGCAGGTTTCAGGCAGCACAGCCTCCCCTAGTAAGCTGCTCTCTGGTTTTCTTCCCTTCTATCTTCTCCTGACTGCTTCCCCACGGGCATGGCAGTGTAGGTCAAACAGCCCCAGTTCCGTTGGCTTTCCGCTCCCCAGGGACATGTGCCCACGGGAAGGTGCCCAGGCCTGGCAAGCAGGTGATGGAACAGTGGTGAGTGGAGCTGGAGTGGTCCCCCCGACCTGGCAGTTAAAAAGCCCAGCCCTGGCTTCCAGCTTGCCCCATCCCTCTGGCTCACATGGGGATTTTCCCGCTGGAAGGGCTCAGGGCATGGGTCCAGCCACCTGCTGTGGGAGCTGCGCTCAGCTCCCGGCCAAGACAGCTGCTGGCGGCGGGTGGCTGCAGGAGAAGGAGAAATGGGACCTGCTGGGAATGCCTCCTCGTTCCCGGCCAATGCCCAGTCCTGCCTCTTAGAAAAGGGCCCGTGGTGCTGGGCCACTCATGATTCACCCATCACACACCACTCTGCCAGCCCCCACTGACCACACATTACTGTTTAGCCACAACCCATATGAAATGCAGAAGTGGGGAGCAAAGCTTTCCGCTGGCACGGCTGCAGTGCAGGGGGCTCAGCTCACTGTCAGTCTCTCCTTGGGGCAGGAGCAGCTTGGAAAGCTTGTCCGACCAGCCACACGCAGTCCTGTGGATATGAGAAGCATTTGCAAACCCTTCCCCTGCAGCCACATGCTCTGGAGCTGGATCCGTCCCTCCTTTGCTGCAGAATTGCCCATGTTTATCCACACAACACATCCCTGGATCAGCCTGAATTTCAGGGGAAGATGTGCCCCCTGAAAGCCTTGGGGGATGCAAGGGGGGGGGGGGGGAGCAGCAGCCACGGTGCTGCTGCAGGTGCCTCCCCTGGCACCTTGCCGGTGCCCGCCCCATGCTCCTCCACCTGCCACGGATGTGGTTACACTGGGGACACTTGTACGAGGAGCCCAACTAGGTGGTTTTCTTTCAAGAAGCAAAGCCTGCTCCTCTGTTCTTTCTGAAATGTTAGTAATCAGATTTGTTCCAACCACTATGCATGGAAAAACTTGCATGTGCTAGAGGAAAAATCGAGACCAAGGGAGAGAGTGACCTGACCTGCCTGTGCCCATGAGCCAACAAGCTATAGGGCAGGAGACCAGAGGGGAGGAGAAGCTCTGCAATGATTCACAGGCTGGAAATGGCAGTGGTTTCTCAGCTGTCCCACCCTGCACCACAGCACTGGGCTCTGGCAGCTGCTGAGCCCCAGGGTGGCCAGAGCAGCCCTGCCACCAGCCCATGGCATGGCTCCAGTCCCAGACCCACATGGGCTGACCTGAGGAGCTCCCAGACACACACTAACCACCTCCAGGGTGGCAAGTCTGCTGCAAATTCTTCTTTTTACCTTCTTTGGCCCCATGGTTACATGAAGCATCTGAAATATCCTGCAGAACAAAGCTCATGTTGCCAAGGGAGAGCGTGATGGGGCAAAGGGAAGGTCTGGCCATGAGGTGTGGGGAGGTGGTGTGCACCCCCACTGCAAGACCCGTGAAGCTCCACAAAACCCACCACAGGCCTCTGAGCTGGCTGCAGGACTATTGGGACCAGCACAGGGCCCGGAGGTGCGAGCCCCGTTCTCTCCAAAATGCAAGACCTCCCTCTGCTGTCGGCACACGCCGTGCCGGCCACCACTCCAGTTGCTGCAGCACCCAGGGTGCATTTATTCCCCCTGTGCTCGGGTTATGGAAGGGAAGCTCCACTGTAATATTTTTTCAAAGCCCAGTGTCTGAGTACTAGGTAAAGGCAGAACAAATATGAGAAGAACTAGAAGAAAGACCCAAGCCTGTAGCAACACTACTTACTTTCACTGAGGGTTGAGTATTTTCTGGAGTTTTGGGGAAGCAAAAATGGTTTCTACAGTCCTTGTTTGTAGCACCTGGAGAATAATGTGGTTTATCCATAAAAAATGAATTACTTCTGAAGAACGAAGCACAGACCAGTGCAACTGTGACACGAAACTCTGCATTAGAAAAACAAACAAAAACCCATCCCCAAAATAGGCAAATGCCCCACTGTCATTTTAGGTATATTTAAACAAAAGAAAAGCTTTAGGACCACGAGCACATCCCTCATTTGCTTTTCCATGACTTAACAGAGCCTTGATATTGTGTGAGATGTTAATCCTCCTTACACTGGTTTTGCCAGTGACCATCCAGTACAGCTGGCCAAAGGCCTCAAAGCAAATGTGCTGTGCCCTTGTCAACCAGGTGACATGAGGACCCAGAACACACTATTAATGCTTTGTTATAGATGGGATCCTTTACAAGATCTCATCTCCCCAGTGTAAGGAGACCAGGGGCATTTATTTCTATAATTCCAGATGAGCCAGTGCCTTTGTGTTAGGCAATTAATGCTGACAACGATTTATCAGACCTATTAAGGCCAATCTTTGACTGGAGACAGATTCATTTAAAAAAAATAGCTCAGTTGCAAGCTTGTCTCTTCCCATTTCGTCCCTCTCCTTCTGCACTAATAGTCCTCCTAAGGCTGACTCCTGTGCCAGACACAGGGAATTTCACAGGTCTGAGGTGGCCCGATTGCATTATCACCAACAATGGGCACTTGGGGTTTGCTGCAGCTATGAGATCAGCTGCTGATGAGGTGAGAGCAGCTCTGGCAGACTACTTCACTCTTCTGCAGTAACACCCCACTGAATTTAGAAGCCCAAACTAGTTTATTCTAAGGCTTTTTTTCATCACAAGTTTCTACACACAAATGAGATGAATTAAGGCTATACACAGGACACATGCACCTCTCAACAGAATGTCTTTTTAAATCGACCAGCAAATATCAGAAAGACATACCCCATGTAAACACGCTTGTGAAGCTGATGAAGCAGCATAGAGACACAAAGCTCTGTAGCAGCTGGAGTAAGCAGAAGTCCATAGCCAGGTTTATCTACCTCTGTGGATGCTCGAGGCAGCACAGAAAGCAGTGCTGGGAATTCTGGTGCTACACGGCTGGCAGGTGCCAGGACATTGCTTCTGATTCACACACAAACGCAATCAAAGTTAAAGCAGAACTAGCATGCATTCCCCAGTCAACATTTCTGGTCTGTACCTTCTGTGAAATAATTCCCTAGTAATCAATTGATGCAAATCAAACCTAAGTTGTATAGTCAAGGACTTGGTTGGCAGGCGGTTAGGGTACAATCACTCCACATGAGCAGTTTCTGACCAGCCTGCTACAAGCCAGCCTTCACCTCATTTGGAGCTACCTGAACTTGAGGGCAACACAAGGAGGTAAACATCACACACCTGACAGCCAGAGGAGTTAAAGCTATAGCTTAGAGCCCTGCTGGACAGTCACAAATTCCCCACTTAAACAAGAAAATCAGGGGGGTTGTTCCTATGGCCTATATGAGCATTCCCATACAAGACTGCACCTGCAGCATTCTGGCCAGTTCTAGCACAACATGAGACAAATTATTTTTTGTAACCCATGTGGGTCTACTGTTCATAACATTATAAACAAAGTTGCAACTAATCAGTACAAAATATTTAATAGAAGACAAAACCTGAAATCTGTTTCTCAAGGTCTACTGTGCTCCCTGCAGCCTTACACAGCCAGCAAGAAGTGTTTTTAGGGAGGTGCTGAAATGAAACGTATGGACCACGAGGAAGAAATGACAAGAGTGGATATGAAGATAGGATTTTATAAATTAAATGAACTTTATTTGTAACTTGTCTTCAAAAGTCAGTAACATGATAAAGTAATTGCTCGGAAGCTCCTAACTGCTCCTTAAACATTATATCAGAATTGCGTGGAAGTGCACTTAGAACAGCAGCAGAAATCTAGATTCTGGTCAATGGGTATCACCAAACTGCATTCTAGCCAGAACCCAGAAATCCCCATCCAACCACTAATATATTGTAATCTCTTTGCAGATCAAGCATTAAAAATAACCAACACCACAGCACTTTTCCCACAGTACCATGAGATTAGTATTTCCCTCCCGCCACGACTGAGCTTCCAGTCACCAAGCAGATACTTAAGGATGAGTCTATAATAGCCCATACCAAGTTGGGGAAAACCTACTCAAACCAAGTTCAACGTAAATGTTAGAGGTCTGGCTAGGCACAATGCTTAATCAAGGTTCTAGCTGTGGTGTGTTTCGTTGTTTCAAGGGTGAGGCTATGCTGCAGTCTGCAGAGTGTGATGATACTAAGTTTACTGGGCAAATAAATTAATTAGTACTCAATTCTGTGGCGGTGCAGGTCCACTGCTCCAATTATGCATGCTTAAATTAGACTAGACATCTCAACACTAGTGTGATTTACAAGTTCTGGGCAGGTGTCTTAAATCATTATATATCAGTATCTTGACCGTGCAGTTAATGAAAACATTAAACTAAAAAGGAATCTCTATAGTAAAAGTGTAGACTTGAACACAGAGTATCCATTTACCATCTGCTGGAATTGCCACCCTGCTTTCTGGGTTATACTTTACTTTTTTCTTTGAAAGCTATACCTGCATACTATACACGTAATATTATATGGAAAACAATCTACGTACAGCTTCAGCTACTTTAGCAACATGAAAACCAGGAATTCAAAATACCTTTTAAAAATCTGTAATGCAGAAAGGTAGTGCTATGAATTACTGGTAAGTTTTGCCACCAGCTTGCCTTGAGAGATGGAAAAACTAGGAATATATATGAGACCTTGATTTTAAATAGAAAGCAGAGGTATTGAAAAAAACAGTTTGAATTCCCCTATCATCATAATGCTTAAAATCACTAGAAAACCAGTTTCAAATCCACCAATTTTAATCATAAAGCCAGCAAATACAATTAATATTTGCTAAGACAGTTAAAAAAAAAAAGATGCATTTTAACTAAGACCAACAGTAAATTTTATTTTCTTATGGTCAAAGTATGGGAGAAAGTAATAATCATGCATCGAACTAAAATATTTTGAACTAGTTGTTTATACAGGTGCAAAAATTTTATAAAGAAGTTTGTAGTTTGAAGACTCATACTGAAGACGTTTTCCATATAGGTGAGAGGCTGCCTATAAGAATTTAAACACCGGGAAACATTATGAAATCACAGGCATCATAGGTCACTTTAAATGAGTGCTGGTCTGACAAGTACAGTTAGCACCTAGAGGTCTCACTAAAGGAAAAGAGAGCTACAAATACACCTCTCATACTACCATTTAAGATATGTAAATGGGATTGGGAAGAGATGTTTATTAACTAGTTCAGGCCATTCCATTTGGAATGGTTTTGGACAGTCGAACCAACTGCAAAAGAAACCAAGAAATAGGCATTGGTAAAGGAAAGCAGATTTGTCTCCTCCATGTTGACCCACATGTAATTAAGCTTAGTATGAAACAAGTAAGAAAATTAGGCTGACAGGGTTGAATGGCATAGACTGTTAACAAGGGACTGAGTGGTACAGAAATATCAAACCAGAGTTTGAAACCAAGGCAGGGATTAAAGTCTTCCGTATTTCTGGATGCCTGAGTTCATCTTGGGATGTACAGGGAGAAGTGCGAAGATGCTGGGCATTTCCCCTTCATGGAAGCTTGGTTTTACAGTTAAGTCTTCTAGTTGGTTCATTTATCCCGCAAAGAACGCATCAAAACCTGTGCCATCATATCATCTTCATCAGCATCATAATCCTATGAACAAAGGGTACAGAAATTCTTTTACTGCAACAGCTGTGCTGGTTTGATACAACATCAAATAAGGACAGGAAAAAAGCTGTCTTTTCCTTTGACTTGCCAGTAATCCAATTTCTCTAATGATACCACCTGCATGGGTGAGATTTCACAGTAGGGGCTATGTAAAATATCTGGGGTTTTAGAGTCATCAGGCTGTATTCCAAGGGTGAGGAAACACATACCACAAAAGTATCATACGAAAAGCGGTGTCGTCTTTGAAGATGCTCCATGAAGTTAGCACTCCTGTAATTTGGATCTCCCCATGGCATTGATGCACAAATTGGGCAAACCTTCAAGAAAAACCCAAAAAAGCCAATCAAGGCCCAAAGGTTAAGAGCTTTAACATTTACAATAGGAAGGGCAGGACAGACACAGCACAAAGACTGAGGTTCCAGGTTTGTGACAATCGCTATTCTATATGCAAAGTGATGTCAAATAGTTTGTTGGGACATTTAATACAAAAGCCTCGGATAAGCCTGAATAATTTTAATTCATGACTTGGGTCCCTGAAATGGAATGGCTTACTCTTCTCCCTGTATTCTGAAAACTGTAATTCACTAGTGCTGTTTGCTTTAGAAGATTTCAGCCTTTATTTCTCAGTAACAGAAAAGTTTCCTTGATCTCCTTTGTAAAGATCATTTCTCTCCAAGAGAGAAAGAGAACCCTTTTTCTAAATAATTTGGAATTTAAAAAAGCTTTCCAGAAAAATGAAAGTTTCAAATTCAGTTCCACATTTTGCAATTCCTCTTATATGAGAGCGAGTATCAGCAGATTACTAGAATGATATACTAATTTTTGCAAGCATTTTTCCCAATAGTTTATAATATCTTCTTGCTGAAAATAGCAGAGGGGAAAGTTCAATGTCTGACTTTTTTGGAAATTACATTTTATTAATATGATGTTTGGTACTGTGCCTAATTAACTTTGAATGTCTGCCATTTTTCAAATAGGAAAGGAGGATGTGACCTAGCTGCAACAGGAACAGAGACTAGTCACCTCCAGAGAATGTACTGAAAACCAACATGAAAATTATGTAAAAGTTAAATGCATGAACAGCATACCCACATTTGACTTGAACAGGAATAATTATAAATATGTACTTAACTTCAAGAGTAAGTCTCTAATTCATTGTTTCAAAGGGATTTAAGACTAGACTTCATTGCAATTCTTGCACCAAGACTTTTTATTACCACTTGTTTTGCATCCATGCTGTGCAATGTTTTGCAGTGTTCAACTAGTCCTTCTTGATCAAAGTTTTTCTCGCTGCAATATGGACAAGGAAACGTAAAGCGATTTGGGAAGTTCCTGGTTGAGGGGAGAAAAAGAGATTATTTATTATTCTAAGAAAGTTAAAAGTAAAAACTTTGGATTCAATACTCAAAAGATGTTTTACCAGCTCTTAAGAATATAAATTAGTCAAAGCAGTAATCTTATTCTATGCAATGAAGACAAGCTAATTTTAAACAATCAGTTTGTAAATTCCTAACAATAGCTCAAGGAACTCTTAATATCATCCATACTTACACAGAGAATAGTTCTTCTACAAATGTTATAAATGCTTAAATGCTATTTATCAACTTTTTCTTTTTTTTTTTTAAATGCACAGGGTACCCGGTATGCTACAGTGCAGATGAGTGCATTGCAGTTAATTCTGACTTCCCTTCATTATAAGTTACAACAATCAAGAGACAGGAAGATAAAACCTTTATTTAAAAAATAGCTACTTATTACTGAGTACTCTGATCTTAAAGATCTTTTGTGCATGGACTAAGTAGAAAGCAGAACAGCTTGCCACAGTCAGTTGCAGGATTAAGGCTTAGCTTTTAACTATGTGAAAGGATTACAACAATTAACACGCAAACTGACCAAAAACATAAAGTCTGCTTTTACTTCAAAATTTGTTTTGGGACAAAAAAGACAAACATTTCCAGCGAAGAGCTAGTTACCTGGTGTTGTGAAGTGGTTCCTTAGTTACTGCCTTCACACCTTCCATTATATAATTCTGGTACTTTGAACAAGAAGCTGCATGGCTACGCATCTTTGAGAGATACATCTGTGCAGGCAGGAATTGCAGAGCAAGGTTAATTTAAACTACTTGCAGCTACTTTTACACTTCTAAGCAGAAGCAGTAAACATATAAAACAAAGCAGCTTTCTGCAGACAGTGTTAAATCAGGAAAACCCAAACACTTCAGCTGGTGAGGCAGAAAGCTTTGAGATTACAGATTAGCTAACCTGTAACTCTGCTGCCTGTAATATTTTACAAATACAACACTATTCAGGACAGTTAACTTTTCTTAACCTATGCTACAGTACAAAAAATACGCTTCATATAAAGCCAGTTTACCTGATCACTGAGAGAGTATGGAAAATAATTTGGCTTTTAGATCTTGGTGTAACTTGATTGCTAGTTGTTCAATCCCATTAATGAAAATTTAAATTTACAATAAGGAAATCTGTAATTCAAGGCACTACAGTTTTCTGTCAGCTGGAATGAAGACACCATAAAGCAATAAGTGAAATTAACTGTTACCTTTACCTTGGTGTGTCTAACTGTCCTTGTTGTTTTGCCATCCGCTAAAACATCTTCTTATACATTCAATTAACACCAAGAAGCCTAACTTTACAAAGAGGAAGGATGCTAACATACAGGACATTAACTAACAATAAGTCTATGGAATACATCACCCATATATGACAACTCTGACTCATAACTAATTCAAATGAAGCAAAAAAAATTTATGTTTAAGAGCCAAAGAGATCACTATCTAAAACCCACAGCCACTGTTTCATTACAGCATACCTCCCACAGAGACATACTCAGAGAAGCAACACTTTACTATAATTTTAAAATCAGTACCTTTCATTTGAAATTCACTTCCTGAAGAGGTAACAATAAAAAACCGTGGAAAAAATGTTAACATTTGGGTGCTGCCTATATAAAACATCTTTAGCACTTATCAGAACAAACATTTTGACCTGATTCTGCAGAAAACTGAAGAGGAAGCACTTTATTCCCCTCTAAGCAGTATGGCTGAGCAAGCACACCTCATGCACTTAATTTGCAAATACTCTCATACTTTTTTATTGCAGCCATTACAAGTGGTTTCTGTCGTTTCAATTTGTTTTTCCAAGTCCAGAGCTCTGCTACCAGGCGACAGGGTGCTGCGGCAGACACCACAAAGTGGCTTTTTCGGCTTAAGACATTCCTGCAGGCACGGAGTACAAAAGCTAGGGTAGGAGAAAAACAGCAGGTGGTGAGAACAGCCCTCCTGGACATGCAGCATAAGTATCCAGAGCTCTTCCATGTCTTTTGCCCTAAGTGATAAAAGAGTTTGAAGAAATTACATCTAATAAAACAACAGCCTGTTGATATTTGTGCACGAAAGGAGGAGTATGAGTTTAGTTCGTCATGCTCAGCGTTACTGGCGTTTGGACAGTGCCCTGCTTCCTCAATTTATCGCATCTTTCAGGAGGAAAAGAAATCGAAAGTGAAAGATCAGTTTTTTTCTCTGCTAGGTTATTTCCCCCCCTTTCATGGAAGCCCCAGGCCACCCCTAAGATGCTGCTGAAGAGCGGAGCTGCCTGCAGACCCCCCTCGTCCTCAGCTGCGCTGCCTGACCCCGTCACCCCCCGAGCGGGTGCAGCCCCCGCCGCGCAGGCGGCGGCCTTGCCCACCCCGCTCCCGAGGGAGTGAAAGGGAAGGGCTACGAGCAACCGAGCCGCGGCTCCCTCCCAAGGCCTCACAGTCCCCGGCCGAGGAGAGCGCCGGCGGGCCCAGCGCCAGCTCGCCCTCCCACCGAGGGCTGAGAGGGCCCCAGCCGCCGCCGCCGCCTCAGGCCCCCGCGCCGCGCCGCCGGCAGCCGCTCACACGTGTCCGCAG